CTTAATACCTGTCCTGACGGACATATCCCACTGTAGAATGGACAGTTAATAAACACGTATTCAGGACATGATGTTAAAGAAATAAAACAAGCAAACAAAAAACCTAATACTATACAGGCACTGTCACTAATTACTGTAGCACATTTATGTGGACATGAAATTAAGAACCCATGATAACCAGGGAGCATTAAAGCTCACATCACTCAATGAACTTTTGAATTCCTTTCTTCAGTTTCAACAGATGATGATTTCTGATATGTATTCTATCCGTGATGACTCCATTACTGCCATTCTGTGTCACAAGCTCAGATATGTAGATGTCCAATGCTTTTAATCCTTTCCTTGTCTTACTTTTGACTGTTCTATTTAGATTTGTCATGCCTTTTTTCTTTTTGCCTGTTTTTGCTTTTTTTTTTTTTTTTAGAATAATCAGTGGAAGTTTTTCAGCTTTACAACTCATGTACCTCATTATTGCTTGTCTCTTGAGGAGAGAAAGTGTGTGTGTGTGTGTACGTTTGTTATATACATATATATTTTCCACTCTCCTAACTTTGAGGGTAGAGGTCTTGAAAAAGAGCACCAGAATTTTCCCTGGGTTTTTCAGATCTGGTGACGATAGTCTGCTGTAAAAGAGAGATGGTGGTGAATTAGTGTGGGACAGGGTTCCATCAGATTTATGTGCATGTATGTTTATTTGTAAGGGTGGTGCTGTAGCTGGTATTTGTTGACTAATAAAGCTGTTGTGATGCCATAATATCTGAATGCTGTAACTGTATTCCAGTTTCAAAGGTATTTAAAGCTGTGATCTTTTGTTCAGTTGTATGTAATGATTGTTTGTTTGCCTGTTACATTAATATGTATTTGCATTACAGTGTCCTTATATAAATACATGCATCTAAGTGGAAATAAAAGCTATCACCATGTCCCGAACTAGCTCAATTCAAAGCAAGTCTATCCAGCTATAGCTAAGCTTATTATGTAGTTTTGAACAGGAGTTGAATGCAGGATGAAACCCAAATGTTCCTCAAGGTCCTGTAGTGCTTTTTGCATCTTGTGATGAGTTTTTATTGTTGTGGATGCATTAGAAGCAGTATCTAAGATGAATAGTTGTAACTTAGTTACTTTTAAATTAGTGATAGTCACTGCAGCAAATGCCATTTATGTGGACCTTAGGCTTTGCTTGTATTGACAAAAAAGCCAGTATATATCAGAAACATAATTAGTACAGAATATATTTATCATTTCATACCCATATGTATAATTTTGTACTTTTCCATGGGAAAGCTGATACCTGGGCTGTCAAGTAGTACATTTCCACATCTCTAAAGGGACAGAAAAGATACTACTCATGTGACTTCATGAGATATCAAGTGGTAATTTCTAGTTTACCAAAGTAAATTAGTGCTTTTATTTTCAATTATGATTAAGTACTGTTTTTATCTACCCATAGAACATTTTTAATCCTGTTTTTAATATATGCAAAAGCTGTCCGCAGACAATATTAAATTATTTTTCTGGAAAAATAATGTAATAACATGAGCATAGGAATAACTGTGGTTTTATTTTGAAAGGTGACGCTTGTTTTATAAGTGCAAATAACGTTGTGCTAATATAACTTCCTGAAAGTGTACCTTGTCTTAGAGAGGACAGACAGGTTATTGTATTTTGAAGCAGTAGTCTTTCTAATAAGTATTTTGTATGGCTTACAGGTTTTAAATGCACAGAGAGCTGGATACAAGGCAGCTATAGTTCACAATGTTGATTCTGATGACCTCATAAGCATGGGATCCAACGACAGTAAGTACAGGTATCACTTCTTCTCTCCTGTTTGAAAATCATCTCACCCACTAGAGTGTACAGCATTAAAATCAGTATGAAGTATTAAGATGGACTCTCACTTAAACCACCCAACCAAACAAACAAAAAAAAACCCCAAACCAACCAAAAAAACCCCAAAACAACAAAGCCACCACCACCAAAAACCCAGGAAAAAAACCCCACCCCAACCAGAAATCCTCCTGCTTTTAACATTTTGAAATGGGATATGTTTGCGTAAGAACATGCATGTATACTTGTGTATTATTTGTGGCATTAAGTTTGTACATTCTCCGAGTGTTTCTTTTGTTTTTCCTTTAAATTTTAGTTCAACTGTCTGGGTTAAAGGGTTAAATTTATGAGATTTACGTGACTGATGTGGAAAATAGCTGATGTGTTGTTAATTAAGTAGAAATATAGGAGAAGTAAAAAACCTCTACTCCTTTGGAAGGAAATAAAACTTTAACATATGACTGTTTAGTATTTGTTAGTGGTTCCATTTTGTTGTTAATCTGTTGTGTAAATTTTTCTGTTCCTTTGGACAAATGGATTCTAACTTCAAATGAATACATATTACATGTTTTCAGTTTTCCATTTGGAAAAAGAACATTTAGAGACCAGTGCGCCACTTTCTGGTTGATTCTGATGCTAGTTGTTCTGATTTAAACCTTTTGTGGAGTGAATATGTTCAGAACATCTTGTCATGTAGTCAAAATGTTGGGTTTGGTTTATGGTATGCGTTTTTTATCTATAGTGCCATTATGATTTTCTTTGTGGCATTTCTTTATTTTGTCCAGTTTTTGAGCTCAATATGGAACAAGAACATAAATGAGAAAAAAAAGTCTTTCCAAGTGGAAACACTGTTGAATAAACTAGGAAATGAACTTTCAGCAGACTAAATGGCAGCTGAGTAGCCCAGACAGCTATGTGAAAGTGTTTTTAATGGATCCCCAACCCATGTGAATCTTATTTTCAGGTTTCACTCAGCAAGTTCACAACAAATGCAGGGTTGGGTAGTGTGAGGGGACATTAAGCCGTGTATGCTTTTGCCTTGGGGAACCTGAATGCTTTGGTACTGACTAAACTCAAGATGCTTTGACCCTTAAATCTGAAGCATAAGTCATAGGTGCAAATCAATACAAAGTGAAGCTGAAGAGAAGGTTTTCTAGAATATGGGATTTTATCTTTCAATAATTTTTCATTTGTGCCGCATCTCTTGAGCTTATTGTTGCCTTCACTAGTAAACAGAGAAGGGGGAGACAGTTCTATCCAGTTTCTTGAGACTAAAATAAAGATGTGGGATTTGTTCATTCTTTTTCTTCTTTTTGAGCTTTTTCTAGCCATAGCTATTTCCACTGTGTTCATTTGTTTAGGGTGAAAAGGAGGGAAGAAAGATTAATTAAAATTTACAGTACCAGATCACAAAATCATGTAAGTTGCCAGAAATTCTGGAAATCAGTGGAGCTGTGTGACTTTATCATGCCTCTAAGAAAGAATGATGTTCTGGTTAAACTTACTCTGATGGTGCCTCTTGTTTTGTCAAAATAGTTTGGTTTTATACTCCCTTTAAATATTCCATTAAGAAATTTGATTTCTATACCTGCAATAAAGTCCCTAGATACTCAGTAGGATTTATATGACGTAAAGATGTAGCATGCATGTGCATTGGTCTATATGCCATTATGTTAAAAGATGTCTTCATGTTGCGATAAGTCTCATAACATTGAAGTCTCACGTCTTAAGAATGCCCATAGAGTATCCGTATAATAGTTTTATTTTCCTGCTCTTTCTACACAGTTGAAGTTTTAAAGAAGATTGTCATTCCTTCTGTCTTTATTGGCGAGACATCAGCTAATTCTCTTAAAGAAGAATTTACTTATGAAAAGGGGTAAGTTACCTCGCATGCAGCTGTGTTATTCCTTGCATTAAGTCATTGCCTGTTCTTAATGATGTGATGACAGAGGCTCTAGGTATTCCAGGTGAAATCTTGTGCTTGAGAGCAATGGGCAGAGAGCATTTTAAAAATCAATACAAATCCTCCTGCAAGAGGGTTACCATATATTTATCAAATGTTATTCCTTTCATTTTCATGTAGTACTAAACATACAAGTTCAGCTAATGATCTGGGAGTCACAGAAATATTTGAGAACGTGTATATTTTGGATCTAAGAGTGTGTTGTTCTTACAATATATGTCAGTTCCCACTGAAGTCAGATGTTGGTCTTAAAAAAATCAAAAATTCATCCTTTATTAATAGGTCTAGAACAAGTCAGAGAACTTCCTATGCTCAGTGAATCTGCAGGATATATTTAAGGTGTTTCTCACGGGACGCACGGCTAGGTTTGCACTGCTTCTGTTCTGCTTTTAAGTTTAAAACTTTGAAAAGAAAAACATTATGAGAATAAGATGGTTAAAATATATACCCTGAATAGGATGGAAAAGGAGGTGTGTTTCATATTGTTAGTGTAATGATCTTGCTTCTTCAGGTCTCCCTATTGTCCTTTTGCCAAATTAATCAGAACAGCTAGGTTGTGTCATTCTGAAGTAGACACCTTGCTGATGAAGTTACTTGATAAGTAGAGCATGGTTCCACATGACTAGTGGTTATAGAACTACTAACACTTTTATACATTGTACCTTCTCAGGTGTTTCTGACTGCTTGTGCCAACAGAATAATAATTGGATTTTACTTCCTTAACTATCAATAAATACTAGTATTCAGGTATCCAGTTGCCAGCACCTGTATTGTGTTCTCTAAGAAGATTTTTGGTTACTGTAATTTATTGACTCTCCAGAGGACAAAGGGTGTGCTTTACCATGCTTCACAATTTGAAACTAAACCTCCCAAAAGGCATAGTAAATAGGAATAGAAATATCTTTTGATAGCCATGTTATATTTTTCTCATTCTGCTATCAAAGCAGCTATGAGGTTGTTTTCCTGGTTGCTTTAGATTAATTTATGATTGAAGTAAGTAGTTTTGACTCGAAAAATGTTCTAAGAAACATTGTTTTATCCTTTTAATTGGGTTTACATTATGTGGATATCAGCTGAATTTTCTATGTTGTTGTGCACAGGTAGGTATTCCTTTACTGTGTCCAGTGATAACCTTTTATTTTAATGTTTTTTTCCATTGTATTTCTTCAATTCATTGTTGATTAAATTCTAACCTATTTAGAAAGTATTATCTTTTTCTCCCCACAGTGGCCATGTTGTGTTAATTCCAGAGTTCAGTCTTCCTTTGGAGTACTACTTAATCCCTTTCCTAATAATAGTAGGGATCTGTCTTATTCTCATCGTCATATTTATGGTGAGTTCCTTCTTTTAATAACATTTTTTTCTTCAGACAAATCATCATAAAGTGTCACTTACTGAAGTTAAATGAAGGGATACAGTAAAGGAACAGCAAAAGCTTTGTGTACTGTACATACCTGTACCATGTTTACCCGTAGTCCTTTATTTTCTCAGTACAATAAATTGGTGCAGAATTTTGGCAAAGGGATGTTAGGAGCCCTTAGAATGTTCTTCCTGGCACATCACTGCTTACAAAGAATTGTCCTCATGGCTACTTTTCAACTGCACAAGCGCTTTCTTTTTTGGCCCGTAAGGAGTGACCTGCCCTTGTACTCTCATATGCTGAGTATGTCCCACCTTACCAAACTTGTACTGCTTAATAAACGTTAGTCCCACTGTTCCACAGCGCAGGTCTTATTGTTATTTACTGCAGGTATAGTAATCAGTCAGTGAGCTCAGAACCTGTTACGGCATGTCTTACAGCATATACATTACCTATAGAGGTTCTCAGTTGGGCACAACTCCTATAAAAGGTAAAATAGCATAGCTATATATTATTTCAGAATACTCGATCCCACTTTTTGGAATCTCTGCTGGTCTCTGACCAATTTATTATTTTACCTTTTCATAAAAAGCAAGTTTTATGCATCAACTGCTCTAACGTTTTAAAATATTTCTTTCCATGTTGGTGGTTTTTGCACTGCAAGTTATGTATTTCATTGACAATCCTGGGCGCATTTGGCACAATTAAAATTGCAGCAGCTCTCTGAAAACAAAGCAGAAATGATCAACTAGAGACAATCTAAAATTCACCAATGCTTTGTCTGACCCTTCTGGTGATTACCTTGGTCATAGAGGGCTTTTATCAGTTAATTAGGTGAACATATACCCTTACCATTGTATCCTGAAGGTCAGCAGTTTGAGATAAGGAGAGATGGTCACCAGGCGTAATATTCTGTGAACATGTGTTGTTCTGAGACCATCATGAGTTCCAACATGATCTTCGCTAATAATCTGCTTATAGTGCACCCAAGTTGAAAATTCAAGCAAAATATTGGTTATCTAAGAAACTGAATGAAGAAGGCTATGAAAGGGACTCTAATATCATTTTGAAAATCATAAATACTGGCTTTGCTTCACACCATATTTTGATAGGGTGCACTGATCCGTCATTTTTCAGAAAGATACTATTTGGGGAATGAAGAGAAAGGCAATAAGAATAGTTAGGGGGTCTCTTATTTAAAAAGTGATTTTAGAAGGTTACCATTGAAGAGAAAACTAATGAGGGGGGACATGTGAAAGCTGTAATCATGAGGAGTTTGAGCTTGACGTTTATTATGACCACCACTGTGGAAATTCAGAAATAAGAGAGGTGGTTTTTGCTCTCAGGATATTTCTTCATATTTTGCTTCAGAGTTTTTCACCAGTTCAGCTGCTTTTGTTTTTACGTGATACTAAGTTAGTTGCAAAAATTCCTTACGGACTTCAGTGTTGTCATCTTCAGGTCAAGAAGTGAACTAAATAACAGACTAATTTGCACAAATCACTTTAGCAAGGAACAAGAGTTACGTGACAAACACAAGGCTAATCCCACTGAAAAGCCACCTCTCCTTAGAACTGCAGATGTTTCCCTCACTGTAGTTTTCTGCATCAAAATTGGCATTACAGATGTTACAGGAGTGAGCTAAGCAAATTTGTGAAGTGTTTGTTTTTAGGGCATAAGTGAGTTCTCTTAACAGAAGCCATAGAATCACAGAGTGGTTAGGGTCAGAAGAGACCTTTTAGAAGTCATTTTGTCCACCCCGCTGCCATGAGCAGGGACATCTTTCACTCAATCAGGTTGCTGAAAGCCCCAACCTGACCCTGAACACTTCCAGTGATGAGGCATCCACAACTGCACTGTTACATTGTCTCACCACCCACATTGTAAAAACTTTTCTTCAGTATATCAAATCTAAATGTACTATCTTTCATAGGGACTGATTGTTTTAAATTTGCCTTTTAAGAGCCGGATGTCTTTATATCAGCTTGCTGATACTCTGAATGAAAGTAATTTTTACTTAATGCGTGAATTTGAGAGTTCCAAATTCCAAATAAAATACATGGGAAAGAACCATCTGTACAATCCAAAAGGAATAAGCAGATGCTAAGTAGGAATAGCTATGAGAAGGGCAAATAAACACTTAGTGAGGAAAGTTTCAGGCATTTAAACTAGTCTCCAATTTCCTTGCTTATACGCTGTGAGGAAATGTGAAAAAGGGCATGTCTGTAAACTATGATTAAGAATTTATTTTTCCAGATATGTCCCAGTTATAAAAGTAAAGGCTTTGAGACCTGAATTTCTCTTCTGGATATGTCAATAGGTAGTCAGTGCTAAAATGAATGTGTTTTTCCATGTCTAAAAATCACATTAGAGAGAAAAACCAGATGTGAACCAGGAGAAAATGATATTGTATGTCTGCAAGTCAGGGTTACCCATGTTATGTTTTGGGGACAGATGTTTGGAAGGTTTTGACAAGAGATTATATAATGTTGGAAATGCCAAAATCCATCTACACAACCATGAGAGGGGAAAAAAAGGGGAGAAGTATTTGAAAGCAGAGTGTAGTACAGATTCGAAGGGGGAGCAGAATAAAATCAGGCTCAGTAATATAAGCTATGGGATGGCATGATGTTTGAGGGACGGTGTGCTGGTGAGGGCTTTCACTCTGCTTCACGATGTACTGAGTACACTGGGGCACATCTGAAATGTGTGTGCACTAACACATGCGGTGTGAGGAATAAACAGGAGGAACTAAAAAGTTTCGCTTGCTCCCAGATCTACAACATCATTGACATAAGTGAGACTTAGTGGGAAGAGTGCTGTGGCTGGAGTTACAGGGTCTTTGGGAGAGGTGAGGTGGAGGGGTAGCGCTGTGTGTAAAGGAAGAGTTGGACTGTACGGCATTTGCAGTTGGGGATGAAATAGCTGAGAGCATCTAGGTAAAGATTAGAGGCAAAGCTAATAAAGTGGATGTTGTCTTTTTTTTTTAACACTGCTGGTGGGCCCTGGGACCCCTGGAGCCCTGGTTTGGAGGACCATGACTGGGGGAGTGATAAAAGCTCCCAGTTGACTTTGAACTTGTACAGGATTTGCTGCTGCAGCTGAATGCACATAAGTCTGTGGGGCCTGATGGGGATCATCTCGGGGTGCTGAAAGAGTTGGCTGATGTTACTGTGAGACCTCTTTCAGTTATTTGTCAACAATCTTGGGAATTTGGAGAGGTCCCAGTTGACTTGAACCTAGCAAATGTTATTTGCCCTGTTTTCCAGAGGGTGAAAAAGGAAGACCCTGGTAATTATAGGCCTGTCAGTCTCACTTCATTGCCTGGTAAAATTATGGAGAAAATTGCTCTGCGAGTTACTGAAAAACTCTTGAAAGACAATGTGGTCATCAGTCAAAGCTGACATGGGTTCATGAAGGGAAAGTCAGTCCTTACTAACTTAATAACTTCTTATAACAAGGTTACCCACCTATTGGACAAAGGGAAGGCAGTGGATATGTGGGGTTGTGGTTTTGGGGGTGTTGGGGTTTTTTAGCAAAGCTTTTGATACTGTCTTTTACAGTATCCTCCTGCAAAAAATGTCCACTATAAAGCTAGACATGTACACAATATGATGGGTGAACAATTAGCTGAAGGGTGAGGCTCAAAGAATTGTAGTAAATGGGGTAACATCTGGCTGGCAGCCACTCGTTAGTGGTGGTCATCAGGGTGCAACTTCACAGCCAGTTCTTGTCAATGTTTCTATCAATGACCTGGACATAGGAGTTGAGTGCATGCTAAGTAAGTTTGCCAACGATACTAAATTAAGAGCTACTGATTCCCTTAAGTGTAGAGAGGTCTTAACAGAGAAATCTTGATAGATTAGAGTACTGGACAACTAATTGGTGCAGTGAGCTTGATCCCAGGGAGGTTCCAGGTTGGATTTGGTCCTCAATCATTTGTGGGTTTGGCCCTGCTTCTTTAAGGAAATCTTGTTTTTAACTAAGAAATGAATGTGAGACTCTCTGTCACTAAGAATCAGAATTACAGTAGAAAACCTGTGGTTTATGCATACAGCTCATTGTTTAGCTGGGGTAGAAAGTCTGAAAGAAGAGTTTGGATCTAAATATGCTTAAGAAGTAAAGCCAGGTGTGATGCAGAAGGGTAAATAAATTTTATTTTGCCAAAACCAATTACAGTTTCAAATATCCTAATAATATTTGTTCATAATATACATACATTTGTATGTTTGAAAAAATAATCTGTTGTGACATATATCAATACCTTTCGGAGATTCTTAAAGTGAGAGGTATTAATGCTGTTTATAATATTAATACTCTCTCAGTGTCTACCTTGTCCACCATGTAGGTAGGTGTAGAGCATGTCTGCAAACTTCAAAAGACCTGGTAGTGTGTATACTTTGGTTAAGGCTATTGTTTGTCTGTTTGTCATCATATTTGAAAAATAATGTCAGACCACAGATGCTAGAATTAGAAACTGAACAGAAATAGCATTAGGGGCTATTGAGAAGATGGAAACAGAATATTTTGTATCGTTGAAGATGGCAAGTAACTATGACTTGAAGTAACCATTTTACTCCCCAAAGTACATCTATATACTATGAAAACAGTTCTGATGAACATGGAAATAATCTTCTAAAAGAGCTGTAATACTCTAAACAAAACCAGTCCAACTTAATTATGTTTTGTTCTGAAATGTGCCATCCCACTGTACATGGGCCTCGGTAGAGGATTGCAGCAATGGCCACTATTTTATATAGTATGGACATAATTTCTTTTTACTTTCTTTTCCAAAAAAAGCTTGCATATTTTCAGTTTCAAGTGCCATGGTCATTGAGAACATCCTTGAGGCTTGTTTGGCTTCATTCTTGAGTCCAGGCAAGGGAAGAGGTGATTCAGTCCTAGTTGGGGTTCCCTTTTGACTAACGTACTATGACAACTTACATGTCAAAATTCTATTGTTCTTTTATTGTTTTAACTTACTGTTCATGTTGACTGACTTATGTATGTTTCTAGATCACAAAATTCGTGCAAGACAGACACAGAGCAAGACGGAATCGGCTTAGGAAGGATCAGCTTAAGAAAATTCCTGTACATAAATTTAAGAAAGGCAAGTGGATCATTCTTTGTCTAACTAATTAGACACCATTGTTTTAACACCAAAAAACCCCTCTAAATTGAGGAGGCTTGTGGTTTTGGAGATAATTTTGAATACACTTGAAATAGATGTTAGAGTTTGGAGTGAAAGCACACAAAACATTTGACTTGACCCTGTTCTCACTGAAATAGAGGAGTTCTAACATTTCTTTAATGGAAGCAGAGCAGACACTATATGCAAACTATGGCTGAGTATTAAAATGTACAGAAATTCCACAAAACTTCTTGTTGCACTCATTAACAGTGACCACAGCAATCAGTCACTGTGATGCATTATTTCCATTATTTGGAACTCTTGCAGTACTGCACCCAGCCTGGAGTCCTTACTACAAGAAGGACACAGACCTGCTGGGGCAGATCCAGAGGAGGCCACAAAAGCGATCCGAGGGCTGGAGCACCTCTTCTATGGGGACAGGCTGAGAGAGTTGGGGTGGTTCAGCCTGCAGAAGAGGGGGCTGTGGGGACACCTTATTGCAGCCTTTCAGTACTTAAAGGGGGCCTGTAAGAAAGATAGGGACAGACTTTTTCACAGGGCCTGTTGTGACAGGACAAGGGGTAATGGTTTTAAACTAAAAGAGAGTCAGTTTAGACTAGCTATCAGGAGGAACTAATTTACCATGGGGGTGGTGAAACACTGGAACAGGTTGCCCAGAGGGGTGGTAGATGCCTCATCCCTGTACACATGCGAGGCCAGGTTGGACGAGGTAACCTGATCCAGTTGAAGATGCCCCTGCTCATTGCAGGGGGGCTGGACTGGATGAACTTTAAGGGTCGCTTCCAACCCAAACTATTCTATGATTATTAGTCTGGAAACTGATAAATACTAGTGGCATACAAGTTGCCTGAAACTGCAGGGACTATAAAAACAAAACTATCTTGTGTGTATAATTTATCTGCTTTTCCAGAGGAGTGGTCCTTTCATTCAATCACAATACATCTGTGAGGGCAAGAGCAATTCAAATTTAATGCCAAAATACTTGCTGTTGTGTTTCTTTGTAGTGATTAATTTTGTGCAAGGTCTAATGTTAAGGTGAGAAACAAAGCTGTAGTACATTACTTTATTCAATGAAATAGAAAAGCTGCCTTAAGTCCTTCTCTCTCGTAGTCTACTCCTTAAAAGTAGAAAAGAATCTGCTATTTTTCTTCTCCATTTTGTTTTTTAAATGTGTTACCATTTTATCATCTGATTGTTCATTCATATAAGCTATTGCAAGGTATAAGAAGAAAAGGTGGAAAAAGTACTTAATTGAAATGATTGATTACTACATAACATGTGTTGATAGAGAATGTATTTGCTGAGGCACAAAGACCATGTTAGGGGGTGTGCCTGGATTCAAGGATAGAACCACTTACTGTTCTTTGCCCTTGATAACGCCAGCCTGCATTATTAATGACATTTGCTCTCACTTTATGCAAAGCAGATGTTCAGTTTGAGCAGATACAGTATTTGTGCTATGTTAGTCAGCCTTGGCGGGGGGGGGGGGGGATGGATTTAAAACTAACTCTCAAAAATTATCTTAAGCCAGTAAAGCTAATATTAATTTTATTTCCTCTTACTGATTCCCTATGAAATCTAATTAGAATAAAAATACAAAGTAAATTATGTTGTACTTTAAAGAGAAATTTGCAAGGAAAAAGTTGCTTCAAGAAAGTCAGTTAATGTCTTTTCCAGTTAATTGTGTGCGTCTGTAATAACTCTTAGAATTACATGACTAAGTAGCCAGTGTATGAAAATGTCTTACTGCTGTTTTCCTCATTCTCCTTCCTCTTTGCTTTTGCTCAATCTTACACAGTATGTATTGTTTGTAAAGTAAACCTGGCTGTAAATATCCAGGTATCCACTGCATTCAGTGGCTTATGAAAATCAGAACAAAAAGCTTATTATTTCAACTGGGATTTCAGTTTCTTGAAGTGAATGATCACTTTGGGTCTACTGCTGTGAAATTAATCCCTTACGTTACTTTAAGTCCTTTTACTAAAAGGACAAAATGTGACCTAGTATTTGCAGCGTGTTACCTTTGGCAACTACAATAAAAAAAGTATTGCTTCATGCTTCTTTGTGAAAGACAGGATTTGTCAAGACATTATTGCAAAATCCATTCACTTCAGTCTTCCTGATGATATACCCAAACAATCTTACCTTTTGCTTTGAAAGGATAGGTGAAAGTAACTCCTGTGGACTATAATTCTGTTTCTAGGGATGCTGGATTTTCTTTTGTCTCCAGTGTATTCTTAAAAATCTGTTTGTATTAAAACAGATTGAAAGGTTAGTCAAATACTGAAGCTGAGACGCTGTAGAAACTGGTTCTTCTTTCTTGCACTGCTTTTTGTATCATGAATCACTGACTAATAAATGGTTTCACTGTACTATAAAAGGGTTTTCAAGGGAAAGCTGGCTTTAATGGATTTCTAGAATTTAGTAGGTTGATAGGCAAACGATGATGTAATGAAGATGATTGTTCTGTAGGGGTGATTGCAATCTGACATACCTAAAGAATTGTTAACACAGCAAATACATGAATCATCTCTAAATAGGATTTGAGTCAAATACCACTAATACATGGGAATTTTTTTACTAATTTGAGTAGGCTTTAGATCAGGCACTTAGCTTTTCTGCAATGAGTAGAGAATGCAGTAACAAAAGGTGTGGCATTGACTGTCTTTGCAAAGTCCTAATCAACAAGCCCCGCCTTTGAATAATTCCACAGAATGCAATGTACTGCAAAAATCTGTTTTCTACATTGAAAGAGTTTTGGGGCAGATGTTGTGTTGTGGTTCCTTACAAAATGGATTGCATTTTGGTCATACAAAAGTCAGTGGGAGTTGACATCTTTTATATGATGTCTTTATAATGAAAGTGAACACAGCAAAAGAGACAAATCCATTTAATGTGCCTGTAATTTGATCATTAGCAAAATCTGAATATTCTGAAGAATAATAGTTTAGAAAAAATACAGGTTAGAAATTTTGTGAATTGTTACATATTGTAGGATTTATTTTCAGAATTACAGAATATTATTTCCAAGCTAGCTTAACTTGACACTAAAATAGAATCTAGGCCAAGACTGAAAAGATTTTTATATCTTAACTGCAATGAAATTATGGTTTCTGACTCCTGTAGAAAAGAAAATATCATAAATTTAGTGAAGATAGAATGCTGTGAGAAAGAGATGTGTGGGCATATTATTAAGAAATTAAAAATGAACAAAGCAAATTTTTTTTTTCTACATTGAGTCTCGAAAGTTAGGATCCTAGATGAGTGGCTAGATACCTGATAAAGAAAGCAGAATTTGGGAGTTGTTACATCCACAAGACTTCTAAAAATGGAGCTGTTTGGTTAAGTGTTTAAGTATGAAAGAGCTTAGCTTCAGACAGTCAGCTTTGAAATGCTTTATGTACATGTGGAAAAAAAACCCAACATGTGACAAATAATAAGCTGTAAGAGTATGCCATTTTAAGCAAATACATGTTTTTAAGTATCATGTATTGAATTTTTGTGTACATATCTCTATGTACATTGATACATATGATTGAGCAATAGTGGGAAATAGATGTATCTCAGTGCCTCTTAAAAATCTGCTCCAGAGTAAATGCAGTTCTGCAGTTTACTATATATTCCTAAACTGATTGGTTTTTTTCCCCTGCAAATGGGATTATAACTGATCTAATTACTGTTCATTACTGACCCATCTGCTTGATTGCACAGTACAGTTATGGTCTAAATAGAGGAAAACAAGTCATAAGGTCTACCAAAGTCTTGGCAGTTTTATATTTGCATTTTTCATTGTTCAGAAGTACACATACATGTGGATGAGTAATGCTCTTGTTTCTGAAAATACTTTTTAAATTTGTATGTGCCAAGAAGATAATTTTGCTTACTAAGTAAGACTTTTCATAGACAGTTAATTTTAAGCAAGATACTTTATTTTGCAGCAGTTTCCATATTACTTTTTTTTTCCTGACTATTGGTGGTTCTGAGCTAGCTTCTGAAGTACAGTAACAGGTATTTGAGAAAAAGATGTCTGCAAAGTGTTCCTTTTAAAAATTAAGTCTTCTGTTTGTTGAGGGGCATGTAGTTGTGGAGGTGAAACTAGCTTGGAGACTCATCAAGGAGGCTCCAGGATTCACAGAAATCATACAGGTTTTGGTGCTGAGGAGGGCTTGCGTTTCTGGTCCTGCCTGCTGCGTGGGCTTGCCTGCCTTCCCCAAGCCATGATGAGAGCAAGTATCTGGGTAATAGTGTTAATTAATTTGTGTGATGACCTGCTGGAGAAATGTAGCAGATGGACTGCAGTTGATGGATCCCATGGGTGCAGGTGAAGCAGTTGTGCTGAGGGCTTGTTGCAGCAAGGAAAGATGGGGCTGTGAAGTTGGGTAAGACAGGCTGGGATACATGGGCTTGACAAGAGTCGGAGAAATACCTTGGCTGCAGTTAGCTAATATGCTGTTGGATAGATCTGTGGCCTCCATGTTTGAGAACTTCAGCATCGGCCTTCTTGAAAAAACTTTATCTGTATGTCCCTGGCCTAGAAATGGACGTGATCCTTTACCACTGTGTCATTTTTTTCTGAATGCGCTGTTGTTCATTTGCCAGGGGATGCCTTAATGAGATAAGCCTACTCAAGAACAGTGTGCTACCACTTGTCAGGACTTTCTTATATATGTTGAATGGCTAGGGGGGAAAAGCCAGCTGTATTATTTGAAAGTTGGTTTGTTTTTTTTCCTTTGAGATATGATGCCCTTGACAGTACTGACTGGTAGTTAACATTCATTTCTGTGTTGAACATGATAATAATGTGCTGACTATAAAAGATCCATAAACATGGTTTGACTAATAGAAACAACAGAGCAAAGCAGCGGCCTAGCAAAAGAGGAAGTAACTTTTTTTAAAATGCTGTAGCTGAAATACTTCACTGTGTTACATTAGACAAACTCTTACTTCAGTGATGTAGG